GTGAAAGCGTGGCCTATCGATCCTTTAGACCTTCGGAATTTGAAGCTAGATGTGTCAGAAAAGTTACCACATGGATAATTGGCTTGTGACAGCCAAGCGTTCATAGTGACGAGGTTGAAAGTAACAGTGCTACGGTGCCTTGACTCGACGACAAATATACCATACCATTGTATATGGAACTCACCGTCATATCAGGGGAGTAGTCGTAACTACTCCGTCCCTAAACTCACAGCACAGCATTGTGAGTTTCCTTTACTGAAAAAGTCGTAAAACTCATTATACCAAACATTCGAACCTGCCTACTATTGTTTTTGGTCTCAATGAACGTGCCACTGAGTTAAACGAAGTTCTATGTTTGTTTTTTCAGATACATTATTCTAACAAATTAAATGATTACACCAAATTATTCTTCTAATTGAATTGAAATGAAATGAAATTGAATATACGGGGATTTGGAGAAAGAGAATTGGAGATACTTTTGTTATTATGTGTTATTATGTGAGTGTTATTATGTGTTGTGTGTTGTGAGTTTTGTGTTGTGTGTTCTGTGTTGTGAGTTGTGTTATGTGTTGTGTGTTGTGAGTTGTGTTATGTGTTGTGTTATGTTATGTGTTGTGTTATGTGTTGTGTTATGAGTTGTGTTATGTGTTACGTGTGTCATGTGTCATGTGTCATGTGTTGTGAGTTACGTGTTATGTGTTATGTGTTATGTGTTGTGAGTTACGTGTTACGTGTCATGTGTCATGTGTCATGTGTTGTGAGTTGCGTGTTACGTGTTACGTGTTATGAGTTGTGTTATGTGTTACGTGTCATGTGTCATGTGTCATGTGTTGTGAGTTACGTGTTACGTGTTATGAGTTGTGTTTTGTGTTACATGTTATGTGTTGTGAGTTACATGTTACGTGTTATGAGTTGTGTTATGTGTTACGTATATCGTGTTACGAGTTGTGTTATGTGTTACGTGTTACGTGTTATGAGTTGTGTTATGTGTTACATGTGTCATATGTCATGTGTCATGTGTTGTGAGTTACTTGTTATGTGTTATGTGTTGTGAGTTACGTGTTACGTGTCATGTGTCATGTGTTGTGAGTTACGTGTTACGTGTTATGAGTTGTGTTATGTGTTACGTGTCATGTGTCATGTGTTGTGAGTTACGTGTTACGAATTGTGTTATGTGTTACGTGTATCGTGTTATGAGTTGTGTTATGTGTTACGTGTTACGTGTTATGAGTTGTGTTATGTGTTACGTGTATCGTGTTACGAGTTGTGTTACATGTTACATTTTACATGTTACATGTTACATGTGTCATGTGTCATGTGAGTTGTGTTGTGTCATGTCATGTGTTGTGAGTTGTGTTATGTGTGTTATGAGTTGTGTTATGTGTCATGTGTCATGTGAGTTGTGTTATGTGTCATGTGTTGTTATGTGAGTTGTTATGTGTCATGTGAGTTGTGTTATGTGTCATGTATTGTCATGTGAGTTGTGTTATGTGTCATGTGTGTGTCATGTGTCATTTGTGTTATGAGTTGTGTTATGTGTCATGTGAGTTGTGTTATGTGTTGTGTCATGTCATGTGAGTTGTGTTATGTGTCATGTGTTATGTGTCATTGTGAGTTGTGTTATGTTGTGTCATGTCATGTGTTGTGTCATGTGTCAGTTATTCTCATATCATCATCTCAGCTCATCACATTCTCAACTCAGCTCAGTCGAGCCCATCTCATCTCATCTCATCTCATCTCACATTCTCATATCATCATTATCATCATCTCATCGCGGCATCATCTCATCTCACATTCTCATATCATCATCTCATCGCGGCATCATCTCATCTCATCTCATCTCATCGCGGCATCATTACTTAGAAACAAAATCAGAAACTTAGGTAACGAACCAACCAGGAGTGCTGTAAATAAAGAAAGCAAAGAGGAGTCAGTCATGTCGTTGTCATAAATAATAATAGTAGTCAGCCAGTAGTCAGCCATTGATTGCATTGTCAATTGACATCTCCTTTCCCATAAATAATAGTCATTTCTCAAAAAAGATATAATAATATAATAATATAATAATATAAATATTTATCTCATATTTTTTAATATATAATATAATATAATTTTTTATCATTTGAGTCATTATACATTCATGGAAGAATCAATTAATTAATATTTCTATCTATTATAGCTTCCATCCATTCTTTTCCTTCCTATTATAATAGAAATAAAGAAATCAAGTGAGGTGAATGATTTCCTTGAGTTGATGAATATATCATAATTGTTAATTAAGTGAGGTGAATGATGGGAAATAATATGGAATAACTTTTATACTAGCAGCATACCACCATAATATGATATATATACGTGAAAAATCGAAGGGCAGGATAAACTAAAGATAATCCACTATGAGAATAATGAGAATAATGAATATACAAATCTCAATATCTCACCTTAAGATACAAGAATCATGTCATTGTCCACAATCACGTCATTATCCACGATATCTAAAAACTCCCCAAGTAATCACGTAAGTCTATTATAGATTTAATCTAACCTGATATGACTATCGTTCGTACATTCTTGAATCGTAATCGTTACTTACATAGAAAAAAGCTTTTCGAGTAAGCAAGCTATGCTATTATATTTCTTTATCCACACGAGCATTTATCCACACGAGCAAGAGCAAGAATGTATACTTATTGATATATTTTACACCCACACCCACCCATGAGCCTTATATGATCTTTGTACGATAGATAATAATTGACTAATTTATCAATAACATTTGGTATACTTATCAATTTTTGATAAATAATATATGGATAGAAAGATCTCAAAGAGCACGACACAATAGCACAAAAAAAAGTGAATTTGGACATAAAATGATGACAAAATAAATTTTCAAACACAAAAAATCTTTAAATATGTTGCCACCATCTTCGTCTTTTCCTGCCGTTTCCGAATTGGTATTGTGCGTCCGAAACGGATAATCCTACGCCGAGTTAGGCTTATTTGAAGTTCACCATACTCTATCATTTTTTTATTTCTCTATCTACATCCGATTTCTCGTCCGTTTGTGTCATCATATTCCTTGACTATGCCAATAATTTCTAAAATTATGTTTTCGATTTTTACTTTGCTCGATATAAATATAAATCCATTATATCCATTATAGTAATATATGCCCACGATAATTATGCTCACGATAATTCGTGTCTCTACTCGTTGTGTTGTGCTATTCGAGACCTTTCCAATGACATATCGTTTGTATCGAACTAATAAGTCGTTTGATAGTTATTGATTTATTACATTATTTATTTTTTTAAATCATCCTCTTTTTTAAATAAATTAAAAGTTTCTATGCCAAAGCCCCGGTCCAAGGCCCCCAAGTCCAAGTCCAAAAGCCCTCCAAAAGCCCCCCCGAAGCCCTAAGCCCACCGCGAGCCGGCCGGGACGGGACCAAGTCCTAATATTTGTTTCCCCCGCGCATAAATTTGTTTCCCCCGTTAATGCCCCGCGCCCCCGCTCCCCCCTTTCACCAGGTGGTAAAAAGCACCGGTGGAAGGAAGGAAGGATGGAACGTCGAACCAGGCATGGAATCATCATCGTCAGGTTCTATATTGTTAGTTATCCTCTCAACTCTTCTTCTTCTTCTTTTGAGGTAAGGAGGTGGTGTGTAGGGTTTTCATTTTTCTTACATGTAAATCATGGTAGATAGAGAGATAATACTTATGGTGTGTTGCCTTTCTTATTTCTTAGCGCTTCTTGTTAAACAGGTTATCGTCTTCGCCGTCAGGTGTGTGTGAAGCCAGCCAGCCCCTCTCTCCCTCTAATTTGCTTCGTTTTTGGAAAGGACACCATAATCTTCTTTGATTGCTTCAACCAGCTGGAAATGCAACCATAGAAATCATCAAGGGAGGGAAATGCAACCCATCCCCGCTCCAAACTCTGATATATTTCCAATAGCACTCTGTTTCAATTGGCTACTTTACTTTACTAACATGTTATGGATGGATGAATATGACCTCTCAACGAGGAAGGAAGCTTCATGAATACCATTTACAACTTTGTGCCCTCACTCCCCCCAGAAGGAACAACAAGGTATTTTTTTTCCTTCTAATATGATCCATTTAATTTGATTTAATATTGAATGACTTTTTTTTTCTTTGATTTGGGAACAAACTTTTGTAACCACTTGTTTTTACTACAATATAGACTTGTGAGACATGAGACAGTCTCAGAAATAACTTCATCTCGTTCTTTACAGGTCAGATTAACTTCATCTCCTGTCGCTGGCCTATTCTCAGATTAAGGATTTCCAATATGACACTATCTTCTTCTCCTATAGTATTCAAATAGTGATTCTGATCTTATTTGCCTTCAAATAACGTTTCCAATGGAAGATTTCCAACCATAATTTTGCACCTTAATAGAATTCTATATGTGTATCTGGGTTTTTCGAACCAAAATTTTCCAACCAATATCACTTCGATTAAATTTTCTGACATGTACATCATGGTAATGTCCTTATCCTCAAGTGCGTGCACCCCCCAGTTTGCATGATGCTCATCCTGAGCAATCTACACACGTTAGCAGCAGCAACAACACCCTGCAAGGTCAAGGTTTACCTAATTAGTAACAATTAGGTACTACTTATTACCAATTGTTTTCCCTTATTATCTGAATAAGTTACATGAAACAATTGGTACTAATTCGAGTTCCCTTAATATCTATCCCCAGACGTTACATCTAAGCAGATTAGAAGATTAGAAGAGCACATACTGAACCCGCTGCATTATTTTCTTTATTAGGGTCTCACATTATCCGATATTATTTATGTTGCAGGGGCTTATTCCTTCTGAACTTGTGGTCACAGAAAGCTAATGGCATCTATACTATCTATAAGCAGGAAAGAGATCTATGCTTCTTGTGAGGGAGAATATTGGCTTCAAGAATGCATCCAGGTAGCTATGCTTCGTACTAAGTATATCATGGTACTGAGTTGATGATTTTAAATAAACATGATCTACATGATTTGGATCTATGGTATTTGGCCAATATTCTTTAAGCCAAATTACCTAACATGTAAGAAAACCATGATCTACATATTAAATAAATTTAATAATCAACAACGATATTACCATGATCTAAAATGAAATGTACATAAGCATTGATATCTATCTATTGTAAATATCTATTGTAAAACGTACTTTATAGATATCTTTTTCTATGAAAACGTACAATCCTCTAACATAATAAACCTACTTACGCTAACAAACTTAATTGTGTATAGTACTTTATAGATATGCTTCTTCCGCATTTGGAAGAAGCATGGTACTGATTTTTAATTGAGTTGTATGTTGATCATGGTTCTGATTTCTTATTTTAGTGTTATAGTGTTCTAATTTATTACTATAATTTTTCACTTTCACATTTGTTGTTGTTATAGTGCCTTCTTTTCACATTCGACGATGATCATGGGAGACAAAGAATATTCTTATTATTTGTATAGTATACATTTATCTTTGTAGAGTGTCTTCTTGTTATAGATTTATATTCGTAGGCTTTTCAACCATGTCGGCAATTTTGTTTCACATATTTTTGGAAGATTTTTCTCGAATACATTGTGAATACAATGTGGTAGGCTTTGAGCCATGTTATAGATAATATATTGTGGATTTTGAGCCATATAGTCAATTGCAATATTCTTCTAAACTGCTTGTTCGAAATGACTCTTCACCTTTGTGGATTTTCATTGGCATCGTGTTAAATTGAGTTTTGGCCTCACAATAAGCAAATCTATCTTACTCGTCAAGGGGGTGAGACTTCATCTTTTTTTTTTCTTTCCCACCATTTGTCTCTTTTATTTTCTTTGCAGTAGCATCATCATTTGCTCAGCTATTATTAATGTCAAAGGCCATCATTATTTGTGTTAAGGGCTCCTTACGGGAGGAATGTTCCCTGCTCTTATTGTATTTGTCATATTACAAGGTGTTCATTTTTTGTCATATTTCATTCATTACTATCATTTGTCTTTATGAAGCTTTTTGACTTTATCATCTCTCTCACCATGCTTTTAGCATTCTCACACTACTTACCTTGTCATATTTTACATCATTTGTATTTTACACCATTTGTTTTTAAGGTTAGGTTACATCATTTGCCCATGCTTGTTCTCTACTCTAAACTCACACTTATTACTAAATGACATAAGAGGATAGCGCTATATTTTTATTAATAGGAATAATAGTGGTAGCAGGCTGTATATTTTGGGTTTTGCCTAAAACCAATACTTAATTTTGGGTAGTTAAGTCTTGTTTAGAGTTGCTTAGGAGGTAGTTAAGAAGTTTTTAATCTAATATAATCTCATGAATCTTTTTTGAACGAATCAAAATTTTTTGATTTTTTATTATTCATCATATATGTCATTAAATGTTGCAAAAAGTTCTTATGTGATAGAAGGAATTATTTATCTGATTGTTAATTGTTATAATATTATATTTTGTTACACATATTAATATTGTAATGGATTTTTTTGTTACATATATTAATATATTACATGTATTATAGCTATAGTAGTATTATACAATGGAGTTATTAGGTGGGTAAAAATTTAAAATTTTCAGTAGTATTATTGTTTGCATTTTATGGTACTATTATTGTAATTCATGATTTTAGTGAATCCATTGGGGGCATTATTGTTGAATTGGGTGGTATGATTGAAATTTAAATTTTAATGAGATAATTAATTTACTTATGTAATTCAATAGACATTTGGCTCCTAAGAGAGAAAAGTGTGATAGAGAAAAAATATTTAATTTTATAATTTAATTTTATAATAAGGTAATTGGATTTCATAAGTCTACAAATGATTATTTATTTAGTGTTGTGCTTTCGCTTTAATTGTACCTCCTTAAGTGATTCTCTTGGGATGGGTTTGTGCTTTTAGGATAAAATTAGGTCATGTTGACTCTTTGGTCAATAATAAAGTCTAATTGAGCATATTAATTCATAAAATATGAGGCGAATAGATAGGAAGTGGGTTGTCTTCATTAATCTATTCACAATGATCCAAGTTTCATCATAGTTAAATTTTTAAATATCATTCAATATAGAGACATCATCGAATTGTTGATAAAGTAGTTAAATTGGTTGATTTTCTACCAATTTAAACATCAATCAAGTTGATTTTCTACCAATTGTTGATAAACTCTATTGAGTTTAAACATAAATACAGTTTATGTATTCAATATTATTTAATTATAGATAAGATAATATTGAATACATAAATACTATTGACCTTGCAGGTTGAAATACTAGACTCTTTTTTTGGTGTAATGATGTTTAAACAATTAGTATTCAAATAATATATTAAAATCTTATATATTCAATATTATCATATCTATAATTAAATCTATATTGATAATATATTAAAATCTTGCAGTTTATGTATTCGCTCGTTGTCTGTCGCTCGTCGCTCGCTCGCGTAGCCAAAAATAGCCAGTTTTGGATTGTTTTTAGGTTGTTTTGGCCTGTTTTTGGGCTGTTCTTGCGTGGCATGACGATCGTCGTGAGCGGAGCAAAATGTCAGTCATCTCAGCACCCTGGAACCCCTCGGGTGGCACAGGGTTGGATGGGGCTTTCGTATAGCAGGGATGGTGCTGCCTCTTGCTTCGCTCGCTGTCCGTCGCTCGCCGCTCG